ATTGAGTGAGATTGATTCATATCGGGAAATTCCGGAAAATTGGTAGGAACTTAGGTGAGAATCAAGAAATTCTCCCATTTCACATTGGCTATCCTACTATATACAGGGGGAAAAAAAGTCACTTTCTTCATTGACTTTCGAGGCGCTATAAGTTACACTTTATTAAATTCTGATCGGACATTTTTACCACCATATTGAAGAGCATATTAAATACTGACACTCCGCCACAGCCTTCTGGACGAGCGCCATCGAGAGATTCTGGCACGCGACCGCGATGTGGTGCCTGAGATCAGCGAGGATAGTCGATTTCTCCGCCACCGTAGACCACCCTGTTGAACTCCGCCCGAACCGGGTAATTGAGGGATTCAGGTCAGGTGACCTACTTGGATATTCCATCTTCTTTAGGTACTCAGCCCCCTTCCATTCCAAGTAGGCGAGAGTTTCTCCAACGCCCTTCGATTCCACGTGGTGGCACCAATGCTGTAGCAGTACAAAGTTTCCAAGAAGGTACGGGCGACGACATGTGGGGGGATATTCTTCTCGAGTTGCTCGATGTAACCGCCAGCGCTCACCTTCAGTCCGGGGTCCACGAAGAAAATATTGGTCTTTCCATTCCAAGTACCTCCAGGTCCATACCATCACCCCTTGACGACTGCGGTGAAGATGATGTCCTAGACCGTAGCGACGTTGTCGGAGCTGCTCGATGTTGGAGGTCTTCCAGATTGAGAGTACTGGTCTCCAGGTAGCTACCCATGGGTGACTCCACACTAGAAGTTTCGCAGCTGTTTGGAGGTGACATGAATTCCAAAGGTCTTCTCCAGTCAGGCTGCGACTGGAGATGACTTCATATTTTGGTGTACATGAAGGTGATGGGCGAGAGCCTCCTGCTTATAGAGGAACATCTTGGGTATCTTCCGCCCTGGTACTCGTATCCACGTCCTCTGTCTGGGCAGCGAAAACTTTGCTGATATGTGACTCGGTCGAAGTGACTTTTTTGCCCCCCCCCCTGTATAATCGGCTATGTCTGTGTGTGCGTGTGTGCGTCTGTCTGTCTGTCACGAAATTCATAGCGAGCGTCGCAGAAAAGATAGGATGACAGTTCCAAGAAGTGATATACATGGCAGGACGGGAACACTTTTGGTGGGTGACAGGAGGTGATAACACTTGATAAGATTCGATAAGGGGCCTTAGAAGGGGAGGGTGACCGAAATCGTAGCGCGAGTTGCAGCAGCTGCGGGACCTTGATTTCAAGGAGTGATATACAAGAGATTAATTCGCCTCTCCAGCTGGCTCCTTTATCACACGCATCTTTACGGAAGGATAAACAAGCGTGTTCATTCACCATTTGCAAACTGGCAAACTGTGTTAGCGGTCCTCATAACATACTTTAACCTTTGATAGAGGTTCACTGCGTTTAAGCGATGAAGAAAAAGGTTTCTCTAGGTCAGAATTTATGCAGGCAGAGACACAGTACTCCGCTTCGTTTGATACAGCATGAAGACTGGTCTGATGTACTGTTCCCTAGGAAAAGTATTCTGGGTCTTGGAAGTTGTCCAGCGCAGGCATTCGTTAGAGGAAGCTTTCCTTGATAAGAAAACGAAACGAAATACCAACCTGGCGTTGCCAATAACTCCCGTTAGTGCAGTGACTAACGATCCGCAGGTCATTTTATAGTAAGTTGTGAATTGATGATCGTATGCACTGAAGAGTGGAACGTTGCTTGACTTAACGTTAAGTGGCGTGATTATGTCCTGAAAGATCACCACTGTTCTGCTCACTTGGTGTGTCAACATGCTAGCTGTTATCCTACAAATTTACAGCGTGTTTTGAACAGTATGAGGATTCAACTTACTCCTTTCATTGACGGATCGCTAACTCCCACTTTTCTTCTTAACTTTTGCTCGTCTTGCGCATCAGAATCTGCTGCACGACAGACATCTACGTTGGTAAACTGGAATCCACTTTGCGACTTATCTTTGGACAATATAAAGGAGCTATAGCATGACTCACGATAAACGAGTAAACCAGAACGATTCTCAACTGCATGCTGTTGACAAAAACTATGAGAAGATGAAACCGTACTTCATTCTCAGACTTAAATACTACTGATAAGATATTGCATAGTTGCGCTTGGAAAACAATTTCAAAGTTGATCACCGTATTCAACCTAGGAAGTATTGATCTACGGACAATTAGAACTCAATCCCTTTAATTGCGACCTGCATGACACGCTGTGACCACTGGGATCTTAGTCATTCCTACTTTCCAGCATGCTGAATAGCTCATCTCCCCCGGAGTTCCCTTCCCTTG